TGCTATACTGAAGGCATTGACAAAAAATAAAGCACCAGGAATTAATGCAATGACAATTGACATGTTTCATCTAACAGATACAGCCCTAGACATGCTTACCAGGCTATGCCAGGAGATATGGAGGACACGTGCCTGGCTAACTTGAAAAGATCCATATTTGTTCCTATTTCCAAGAGAGGTGATGACAGAATGTGGACAATAATGAACAGTATCATTAATATCATGTGTGAGCAAAATATTGCTGAAGATCATTCAAAAATGGCTAGAACGTTGACAGAAAATTGCTAGAATTTCAAGCTGGGTTCAGAAGTGCCTATGACACCAAGGGTATATGCTGATGTCAGATGGACCCTGTCTGAAGGCAGAGAGTATAATACCAGAAGAATGTCTATTTGTGTTTTATTGACTATGCAAAGGCATTTGACTTTGTGGATTATAACAAACTATAGCTAACATTGAGAAGATTTGGAATCCCAGAACACTTATTCCTACACAAAATCTATACCTGGACCAAGAAGCTGTTGTGTGAACAGAGTAAGGGAACACTGTGTGGTTTACAATCAGGAAGGGTGTACATCAGGTTTTTATCCTTTCTCCATATCTATTCAGTCTGCATGCTGAGTAAATAATTAGTGAAGCCGGATTGATGAAGAATGTGGGATCAGGATCAGAGGAAGACCTATCAACAACCTGCATTATTCAGATGACACAACCTTACCTGCAGACAGTGAAAAAGACTTGACATGTTTGCTGAAGAAGATCAAGCACTATGCTTTCAATATGGATTACATCTCAACATCAAGAAGACAACAATCCTCACCACTGGATCAACAGGGAACATCATGATAGATGGAGAAGAGATTGAAATCATCAATGATCTCATCTTACTTTGATCCACAATCAATGTTCTTGGTACCAGTAGTCAAGATGTTAGGAAAAGCATTGCATTGGGCAAATGTGCCATCAACGGCCTCCTCTCCAAATTACTGAGGGGCAAAGCCATCAGTTTAAAGACTAAGGTGCACCTGATTCAGGTTGTGGACTTTTCTATCACTTGCTATGCATCTGAGAGCTGGCTGGTGAATAAGGATGACACAAGAAAAATTGAGGCCTTCTAGATACGGTGTTGGAGAAGAGTCATGCCTATCCTATGGCCTACCAAAAAGAACAAACATACATATTGGGGAAAAGTACCACCAGAGTCCTTCTTGGAGGCAAAGATGGCAGAGCTTCATCTCAAACTTTGGGCAGGCTGCTAGGAGAGACTATTCCTTGGAGTGGGACAACATGCTTGGAAAGGTAAAAGCCCAGCGAAAGAAGATGATCCTCAACAGGATGGATTGACACAGTGACTGCAGCAATGGGCTCAAGTGTGTTAGGGATATCGAAGATGGCATAATATAGGACAGGGTTCAGATCTTTTGATCACAGGGTCACTATGCATCGTACTTGATTCAGTGGCACCCAACAACACCCTAATAACAATGGAAAGGAGTTGCCCTTTGAACTCAAAGGCACATGGCCAAATCTACCAACTACTCCGAGAAAGATGGACAATCTCCTTGCAGACTCAATGACACATAACAACAGCAAATTTTCACAGGATAAGATGGTTATAATTTTCCCTTGAGGTGTTTGGTGGATTAACACTTCTGATGTTTTGGATAGCAGTGCAGTAGGAAACAGAGAATACCACCGGAGCTGCTGGAGGGCTACTCCTAGAGCCTGCTCCATATCCCCTGGCCTGAGCGGGGCCACCTGCAAGACAATAGAGGAAACTGAACCCCTTTGTTCTAGCCCAGCTTTAAAGAGGGTGAAGTGGGGTTGATTCTGGCCCTGACCAACACAGGAAAGGGAGAAGGAAGTGACATAGTGCTGAAGGGTGAAGAAATCCAAGGGCCTGGCCTCATGCTTGTCTCAGCCAAAAACATAGGGTTTTAGGCAGAGGTCAAACCTCATCAACTCTCTAGCTGTAAACAGGGAAATGACCTGTGCCAGGGGACACTGTGCTGGGGACACATACATGATAAACCCACTCTATTTCACATGCTTCTTTCTGTAGATTTTTCTCTGGATTCCACTGAGGGGGTTGTGGCATCTCATCCTCACTCAGTTCAGAGTGGAGTCCAGGTTTCGCTCAACTGCTTTGCAAACAGGACCAGTTCCGACTGCTCAAGCTGATACCCTGAACCCAGAGTCAAGGACATGTGTATGGAAAATCAGCCCTTCTGAAAGTGGGGTTCTTGTCTTCACTGGCCTAGTACCCTTAGATACCATTTGCACACACATCTCTTTTTTTTTTGTTGATACTCATTAGCAAGAGTTTACAATTAGTTTTCTGTGCAAGCCTGTGAAAGCCTTTGACTGAGATCTTTTTCTTTGCTGTGTGCCATTGAATCGGGTCTGACTGGCACAGAAAGAGATTGCCCCTCCTTCTCCAGCAGAGCATCTGGTGGATTTGAACTCTGAGCCTTTAAGATTGCAGCTTCTTGTCATTAGGCCACCAGAGCTCCCTTTGACTCAGATTTTTGTATTTACTTCCATGGAAATACATGAGATCTGACTTTCCTTTTGGACTCAGAGGTCTCACAGCTATGCAAGACTCCAGGGCTGGAGCTCCCACGTTCTTGCAAGTGCTCTGTTTAGGTTGCTGAACTCTACAGGGTCCAAAAGAATCATACAGCCTTACACTGCTGTTGTGCAGAGTGGAAGGGGCCTCAGCCCCACCACAGATCACAGAGTTTGTTGTTATTAGGTGTTATCAAGTTGAATATGACTCATAGCAACCCTATGAACAAAAAAATCTGAACCCTGTTCTATGCTGTGCCATCTTCACACTTCCTGATACACAAGAGCCCATTGCAGCAGTCACTGTGTCAATCCACCTGGTTGAGAGTCTTCCTTTCCTTTGCCAACTCTCCACTCTTTTCAGAATCATGTCCTTCTCCATGGAATAGCACCTCCTAGCAACATGTACAAGTATGTGAGGTGACACCTGATCATTGTCTCCAAAGCACTCTGGCTGCACGCACCCTCTCCAAGACATACCTATTTGATCTGTTGGCCGTCCATTGGATGTTCAGTGTCTTCTCCAACACTACAGCTCAAAGGCGTTGTCTTCTTTTTTTAAAATTGTATTATTTTTACATATACCGTCAAATCAGATCTGACTGGTACAGGAGGAGATTTCCCCCTCCTTCTCCAGCAGAGCATCTGGTGGATTCGAACCGTGTACCTCTGGGATTGCAGTGCACCGTCTTGCCACTAGGCCACCAGAGCTCCCTAGGTGTTGTCTTCTTCTTTCATCATTATTCATTGTCCAACTCTTAGATGCATAGCAAGTGATCAGAAAGACTATTGCCTGAATCAGAAGCACCTTAGTCCTCAAACTGACATCATTACTCCTCAATAATTTGGAGAAGTCTCTGACTGCAGATTTTCCCAGTGCAATGCATCTCCTTATTTCCTGATTGCTGGTACCAAGTGTGTTAATTGTGGATCCAAGCAAGATGAAGCTGTTGACAGTTTCAGTCTCTTCCCATAATAATGTGGTCTATCAGTCCAGTGGTAAAGAATCTTTGTTTTCTTGACATTGAGATGCAATCCATACCAAAGGCAGCATTCCTTGACCTTCTGCAATGAATGCTTCAAGTCTTTCTCACCTTCAGCAAGCAAGGTTGTGTCATAACACAGGTTATTGTTGAGTATCCTTCCAATCCTGATGCCATACTCCCTTCCTAGAAGCCAACTTCTCAAATGATTTGCTCAGCATACAGATTGAACAAGTGTGGAGAGAGACTACAACCCGAACACACTTCCTTCTCAATTTTAAACCTGTAGTGTTCCCCTGCTCTGTTTGCACAACAGCCACCTGGCCCAGGTATAGGTTTTGCATGAGCACAATTAAGTGCCCTGGGACTACCATTCTTCTCAATGTCAGCCACAATTTGTTATGATCCACACAGTCCAATGCCTTTGCATAGTCAATAAAGCACAAATAGACACTCTTCTGGTATTCCTTACTTTCAGCCAGGATCCATCTGACAGCAGTAATGATATCCCTGGTACCACAGCCTCTTACAAATCCTGCTTGAACTTTTGGCAGTTCCCTATTTATATACTGTTCTAGTGGTTTTGAATGATCTTCAGCAGTATTTTGCTTGCATGTGATATTAATGATACTGTTCACTAGCTTCCACATTCAGTAGGATCACCTTTCTTGGGAATGGGAACAAATATGTACCTCTTCCAATCCATTGAGCAGACAGCTGTCCTCCAGATTTTCTGGCATAGATTGGTGAGCGCATCCAAGGCTGCATCTATTAATTGAAACAAGTCAGTTGGTATCCCATTGATTCCTGGGGCCTAATTTTTTGCCATTGCCTTCAATGCAGCTTCCACTTTCTTCTTCATTACCATTGGCTCCTGTTCATATTTTGGCTCCTGAAATTCTTCTGTGTCAATCAGTTCTTTCTGGTACAGCGCTTCTGTGTATTTTCTCCATTTTTTTCTGTGTCATTTAATATATTGCTCATAGCATCTTTCAATATTGCAACACGAGGCTTAAGTTATTTTTCAGTTCTCTCAGCTTGAGAAATAGAGTGAGTCCTTCCCTTTTTATTTTCCAATTCCAGCTATTTGCGCATTCCATTATAATACTTTGCTTTGTCCTCCCGAGCTACCCTCTGGAATCCTCTGTTCAGCTCTTTTACTTTGGCTTGTTTTCCTTTTGTTTTGGCTTCTTGATGTTCTAAGGCAATTTTTAGACTCTCAGAGAGCAGGTCGTGGATAATTCTGGCTTACGCTCCCTCTGCTATGCTCAGTGCTTCCCCTGGGTGAAGCCACACGTGGTCCTTCTCTTTGAAAGCGTGGCCAGCAGAGCCCGCCTCGTCATCTGGGAACAGTATCTCCATCCCTCCTGTCCAGGTTCCCCCTGCACCACTCTCCAGCCAGGCTCAGTGAAAAACCTGGCCTGAGGAAGGGTCTCTTTTCTTTTTCAGGAAAGTTCTGGCATATCTCGGATCTGCACCTTGACCCTGAATACAAAGTATCTGAAGACCCTCTCCAGGTGTGTCCATCAGCTGGCTCCCAACCTGTGTCCAATGCAGGCCCCTGGGGCAACTACCTCTGTGACTCTCCCTGGGCATTGGTCAACTCCTCCATCTACGCCATGAAGCAGATCCTGCCGGAGCCGGACTTCATTCTTTGGACCGGGTGAGAGCAGCTGTGTCAACTGCTGCCCCTTGTGCGACACTTTCTGTGTGCCATGTGCCAGCCATGCCCTTGAGCCGCCTTACCTCCTTTAGTTCCCCTCAGGCCTGTGTTAGACATGAGGACTTGAAGCTCAGAGTAGCTAAGTCACTTGTTCAAGCCTGAGTCTGAGTGACTGCAGCCCATGCTCACAACCTCCATGTCCCCAGACCTGAGAACATAGTTCCCACTGGGGCTGGGAACCTGGTTGTGCTGGGTCTGAGCATCTGCTGGACTGGATTTTAAGCTGTGGACAAACCCTGGAGCTATTCCTTCTAGAGTGCAGGGGGTCACAGTCCTAAGATCCCAATAAAGGGAAGGAGGAAGGTGCTGCTGGTTTTAGGGGCCATCTAATCGGCTCTGACTCAGAGGGTTCCTGTGCACAACAGAATGAAGCACTACCCAGCCCCATGTCATCCCTACCACCACTGCTATGCTTGACCCCACTGTTGCAGTCACTTCGTAAATCTATCTCATTGTTGAGGGTCTACCTTGTTTTTGTGGATCCTCTACTTTACCAAGAATAATGTCCTTTTCTAGGGACTGGGCTCTCCTGATGACATGTCCAAAGGATTTTGAGACAAATCCTTTACATCCTTTCTCTTCACTCCTTGCCTCACCCATCAGACTCTGCGACCCGTGAGTTCCCCTCCTTCCCACCCTCAGTCCTCTTCTATCATCACCATCCCATTTTGGACTTTTGTCCACATCTTACTAGGTCTCTATTTTTACAATAATGGTCTTATGCCATACTTGTCCTTATGAGATAGAGTTAGTTCAACTCAGCATAATGCTCTCTAGCCTCTCCCCGATGAAATCATTGCCCCTGAGCCTTTCTCATTTTAAAGGAATACTCTGGCTGTATTTCTTCCAAGCCAGATTTGTTTGCAGTCTGAGTCAACTACAACTCACAGCAGCCCTATGAACTGAATCATGTCCCCTATCCTGCAAAGTCCATGGTTTTATTTAATACTTTTTAAATTGGAAAGCATAAATTCTTCTTCAGTTTTCTTATTCATTGCCCAACTTTCGTATAAAGATACTGTTGTTAGGTGCCATTCCATAACCCATGTTGTTGTTGTTGTTAGGTGCTGTTGAGTATAGTAACCTGTGACCAATAGCTCTGACTCCTGGCCTATCCTGTGTGTGCCATCCTCACAATTTCAGACACATTCAAACCTATTATAGCAGTCACTGTGTTAATCCATCTGGTTGAAGGGTCTTTCTCTCTTTCACCAGCTTTCTACCTTTCCACGCATACTGTCCCTCTCCAAGGAATAGCCTCTCCTTACAACATGCCCAAAGTATGAGTTGAAGCCTTATCATCTTTGCCTCTATGGAGCACTCTGGCTGCACTTTCTCCAAGAAATATATGTTTGTTCTTTCTGCAGTCCATGGGACATTCATTCTTCAACACCACAGCTTACAGACATCAATTCTTATGTTATCCTATTCATCTGCTCTCAGATGCATAGCAAGTGAGACTATGGCCTGAATCAGGCGCACTTTAGTCCTTAAACTGAAAGAACGATAAGCAACAGAACTTTACCCTGTTCTGCATCACTGTCTTGATCTCTGCCTTGCTTGAGCCCATTGTTGTAGTCACTGTATCAATCTATCTTGTGCAGCTTCTTTCTCCTTCGCTGACCCTCTACTTTTCTGAGCATGTGCCCTTCTCCAGAGGCAAGCATCTCATGATAACACGCCCAAAACATGTCTGACAAATTCTCACCATCCTTGCCTCTAAAGAGCACTCTTTCTGCACTTCCTCCAGGACAGATCTGTTGGGTAGACTAGGGCACATTTAATACTCTATCAATACCATAATTCAAACGCATCAGTTCTTCTTCAGTCATCCTTATTCATTGTTCAACTTTCACATGTACTGTGAAGGCATGGAAAATACCATACCTTGGAGCACCTGAGGCCCACTTGAGTCTTGAAACTGACTTCTTCACTTTTTAGCACTTTAAAATGGTCCTTGACAGTAGATTTGCCCATTGTGATAAGTCTTTTGATTTATTGACTGCTGTTCCTTGGGTGTTGGTTGTGGAGACAAGTAAAAGGAAATCCTTGACAACTTCAATCTCTTTTCCATTTACCATAATGTTGCCTATTGGTCCAGTTGCCTAACCCAAAGTAAGTCCGGCTTAGCTCCAGGTAGCAGTATTACTATTAATAAGTGAATGAACTTTCCTGGATGGTGGCTGGGTGGAGTCGCCTTAGGATCTAGGTTACTAGAACTCTTACCGGACCCCAAATTAAACTTTCTACCATTCTTATCTACTGGCTCCCCAACCCTGCTTAGCATTTCTGAGGTGGATGCAAGAACTTATATCAGCTGAATCTGGGACAGGAAATTCTGGTCGCAGGCTCTGCACCTGCCCTAGATCAGTACCCCATACTCTGAAGCTAGGTCCAAAATCTTTAGAGCCCCTGGGAAAGGGATTGAATTCTGAGTGGCTTCTTATCCTTGATCTTCCTGAGGACTTGCAGAAGGCACTAGAACTTTAGTGCATCCCTCTCTAAATATTAATTACAACCTTGTAGCTACAATAACTGTATTATTTATCATTTCCCCAATCATTGCTCCATTGTACTACCTTTTATTAGAAGAAAATCTATGAGTAGGCAGTGTTATTAACCTTGTTTTATAGGTGAAATTACAGAGGCTCAGAGAGTTTAACCAATCAAATCAGGGACCCAAAACAGATAAATGGCAGAGCCCAGATCTGAACTCTGTCCTAATTCTCAGCTCCAGCCTGGCCACTTCCTCTCCTCAGAGGTGGAGAGCTATCCCACAGGCTTTCTCCTCACAATTGAGCTTCCCCTGACTTTTTCTCACATCCCTTCCCGACCTGCTTACTGGTCTCATGGTGTTTTGCAGGGATGACACACCTCATGTGCCCAATGAGCAGCTGGGAGAGGCAGCTGTTCTGGAAATTGTTAAACGCCTGACCACGCTCATCAGAGAGGTCTTTCCAGGTAAGACTTCCATCAAACTGCCAACTTCCCTGACCCCAGGGGGGTGCCAGGCACAGGAGGGACACCAGCAGCAAGATCAAGCATAAGGCTTTTCAAGTATTGATAACCACTGTTGTCGCTCAAGCGTTGTGTTAAGCACTTCACAGCCATTACTTCTCACTCTCCAATGACTGGGGAAGGTCTGGACAGAGAAACATTACTGGTGATTTTACTGCCTTTCCACTCCACCTGTGTCAGTTAATTTAGGTATCATCCCTGAATTAAGTCTCACACAGACTTACTTTCAGTCTGTGTATCCTGCTCTGGCCCAAGCAGGCACCAGCTACCCTCAACCCATCACACTGCTGAAGACTCTGAGACACTCATTTCCAGCCAGTGTACTGTTGCTTGATGTTTCAAAGACCTGCAGAGCCTGACAGGGCCCAAGAGTATGAGGCAGCAGCTTTATAAGACACAGCAGAAATGCATTCTCCATATCATGGTTCTTGAAACTGTTTTTTAAATTAGGTCTGCACCACACAGGGTCCTGGGGTTGAATCAGGCTCACAGGCCAGTGAAGGAGACCTCTGAATGCAGAACCTCCCTTGAGGTTCTGGAAGGAGCCCTAGTGGCACCGTAGGTTAAGTGTGGGGCTGCAAATCAAAAGGTCATCAATTCGAACCCATGAGCTGCTCCATGGGAAAGATGTACAGTCTCAGAAGCCTGATAGAAGACTAGAATCAATCTGATGGCAGAGGAAATCAATTGGATGGAAGGGGGTGTTATTTTTCTTTAATTTTCAGATTCTGGTATAGCTGTTTTCCTCAAAAGGTCCTAGATATTGGCGCTGAGCACACAGATATGGAATAAAATAATATCAGCAACTGTAATATCTCATGTATTGAGTGCCAACTGGCATGTATGGTTGTTTTACATTTATCGTCATGATAATTCTAAAGTAACCCAGACCCACTGCCATTCATTCCAGCTCATAGTGGCTCCGTAAGACAGGGGCTTCTAAGTGATTAGAGAAGCACTATGCCACACATACCTTTCTCCTCATGATGTGGTCAGCAGGTGGAACCTCTGAACCCTTGGGTAGCAGTTAAGCACTTTAACCAATGAAACACCAGGGCTCTTAGATAAACCCAAAGAGTGATACAACTACCACATGAATTTTACTGAGGAATGTGAACCCTGGCGTCAAGTAAACTTCCCAAATTCACCTGGCAAGGATGGGAGACAATCCTGCTTCGATCACTGCCTTTTTACTACTCCCGCTGCCATTATAATCTCCATCTTGGAAATAACTACCCCTTTCTCCCTAAGTAAATCAGTCTGTGCAAGGAGATGCAGGATGCTTTCTGCCTACCAGCTCAACCCAACCCAACGCAGACATGCTGGGGCCTGCTCATCTTTGAGCAGAGGTCACCAAACCCCACTGCCCTCAGGCAACTTTGGATTTGTGGTGACCCCACGTGTGACTGAAGAGAACAGCTCTGTGGGGTTTTTTTGGCTATGGTTGTTATGGAAGGGAGGAGCTCTGGTGACCTAATGCTAAGAAGCTGCACTGCAGTCCCAAAGGTACACAGTTCGAATCCACCACCTGCTCTGAGGGGGAAGGATGGGCAATCTCCTCCCTTGTGATTAACTGCCTCTGAAAATCCACCAGAGGGTCAGCTATGGCTCAGTTCCTACTCGACTGTATACAGTAAGTCCTTATGGAAACAGATTGTCAGGCCTTTCTCTGTGGTGCCACTGGGTAGTTTTGAACCATCAATCTATAGGTTAGTAATGGAAGGTGGGCCATTTTTTACATTCAGGGACTTCCAGAAGTCACTGTTTAGATCAAACCAAATCACTGCTCTCAACACCAATGATCTATGTAAAACAAACAAAACCAAAAATAATGCCTCCCTGTCCTTGAGTCAGTTCCAGCCCTCCACTGGGTTTTCCCAAGGCTGTAAATCTTTATGGGAGGAGAGCAAAATTCAAGGTTTCGGATTCTATACCATATGCCCTTCCATGCCCCACTCCTCTTACCCATCAGAGTTGCTCTGAGCACTGGTTCCTGCCTCTACAGCACAGCAGAGTGATTGGAAGTACAGCTCTGGGTCCCAATTCTAGTTCTGCCATGTTCTTTCTGGGTTATCTCACTGAGGTTCAGTTTCTCTCTGTTTGAAAAACAAGTAACAGGTGAGCTCTGGTGGCCTAGTGGCAAGAAGCTGCACTGCAATCCCAGAGGTGATGGTTGCTGTTGTTAAGTCACAGGTGACTCATAGTGACCCTATGAAGGAGAGTCCTCAACACTTGTGTGTCTCTCATCCTCTCTCCAGGTTCATAGGGTTTCCAGAGGCAAGCTATTAGGGAATTGGATGCTGCTCCTGCTTCCAAGCTTGTTTTAAGCGGGGAGTCTCACCCAACACTGTCCACCATGGGTAACCAGCCATTAACACATTTGACACATCAGCCTCACAGTGTTCAGCCTCACAGCAACCACAAGTTACCTCTGTATGGCAAGTGGACGGACACACCAGGGCTATATGACCTAGAGGAATGTTTGAACAAAAACAATGAAAGACAGGCCCGAGGGCCGCAGATTAAAAGTCACCCACCTTTGGCTTGGTAGCATCGCTTTCAGTCCACTGGGCCAGCTGATCACTCTCTATGTTGATGTTATTGTTGCAATTTATTGATTACAATTTACTTCATACTCAGTTTGCAAGTTCAAGTAATGAAAACCCATCCTTACACTATTGTGCAAAGACCACTGTTGCAACCACTGTGTTAATTCAATTCTTTGAGCCTTCCTCTTTCCCCCGACCCTCTAATTTATCAGACATGATGTTTTGCTTCAGGGCCTGGCCTCTCCTGATAAAACACCCCAAGTATGTAAAATGAAGTCTCACCACACTTGCTCCTAGTCTGAAGGTACTTTAGACAGATTTGTCTGTTCTTTAGGCAGTCTATGTTATACTCAATATTTTCCAACGTTAACATAATTCAAAGACATTAATTGTTCCTCAGTCTTCTTTATTCACTGTCCACTATTTAGAGACATTATGAAGCAACTGAAAATATTGTCTTGGGTCAGGTGCATCTTAGCTTTTAAAAGGACATCCTTGTTCTTTTGCACTCTAAAGCGATCCCTGGCAACAGATTTGCCCACTGCTAAATGTCCTTTGATTCCATGACTGGGATTTGTTCCCTGCCCTCCATTCATTGGTTTTGTTTTTTTTTTTAGTTTTTTTTTTCTGTAATTATATTTTATTAATTTTCATAA